GAGCTTTGTATGAAGACGCCATACCGTTTTGGTCCACAAATATGGCCGCCGGAAATCAACAAAAACATCTGGACTTCACTTTTTCTATAGCTCTTTCGTTTCACGCGAGAGCTAGCATACGTGCGCATAAGCACATCTTTTAATACTTGAAATGGTTAAACTGCTGAAAATCAAGAGGGGAGACTTTTTTTCAACGAGACAGCGCTCCCATTTTGGTGTCACGCATTGTGAAGACTTGGGAGTTCAAATTGCTGAATTTTTGAAATGAAACAATTGCTACGGGATTGGAAACTTGTACAAATATTTACTTTTTGTTTATCTTCAACCTAGTGTAAATAAGAATTCGTAAAACCTCGCTATTTTGACTTTGCAATTTGATGACGTCCTTTCAATAAAAAAAAAAAAAGAAATAAATGTTATTTTATTACTCTGTCGGGTGGCTGAAGCAACTCCAGTTTTAAAAACGCACAGCTGAGTGCCTTTAGGGTCTATGACAAGATCAAGTCAGTCTACAGTGTTCCAAAGAATGTAGCTTTTTTTTTGTCTGAACATTTTGTTTCCTAATATCACCCAACCCCTCACTCCCAAAGTTAAGTGTAGATTTAAGAACTTCTTTACAATGGTAAAAATTTTATTGTTTACAGTACACAAACGGAAGCTTCGCTCTTAGACTTTGTTAAATCTAAATGTTAGGTACAGTACTAGCACCTCCCTTCTTCCCCTCCCCGCCCCTCCCCCTCCAAAACAAACCAATAAACAACTTTGAGAGTTTTTACGTCACTCTACTTCCTTTTTCAAAAATGTCGGTTTTGCTCGTGGCACCTCATTGAGTCCGTTCAAGGAGGCGTCCACTTTGAGTGTTAGCTTTGAGGGAATCATGTCAGAATTGTGTAAGGTCAATAATCCTACTATCAGTGAAAACTCTTTGCAGGGCTTATAATAGTTTATCCAGTCTTATGACCCCATGCCATTGGAAAACAAACCCGAAGCAAAACTTAACTTTCAACTGACAGATAAAAGCCGAAACTACTTTGATCTTTGCCTTCCAAATGTGACGAGGAAATAACAGTATCAAGTAACAAGCTCACGTACCAAGTCTTCAGATGAACAAAACTCAAAGAAACTTACATGAAAATGACAAGTCAAAAACAACACTTCCCTTCTTTTGCTACCACCATCTCTGCGTTAGGTATTCTTCTGTATTGCATTGGGCTTCTAAGAGTTGAATTAGAGTTGAACAATCAGAAGAAAAGATTAAGCGCGCTAGAAAACAACCCGGCGACAAAACCACCATCCGGCGATCCAAATATTGTCAAGATCATCAAGGGTGCGCGTGGTATGTACATTGTATTTTTCTTGTCTTACACAGCATTTATACACAGCTTAAAATTTAATAAATACTGAAATATTTCTTACCATCCTGGAAAGAACATTCTACAGGATCCTACGATGATTAATTTTGCATACTTACCCTGTATTTTGATCACAATTTGCTTGCGATTGAGTGGTCTTAATCAATGAGCGAAATGTGCAAGAACGTTGATTCGTTTTCTTCTGTTTATTTGTGTGTTGACTGCGTTTTGAAACGTCTTAGAAATACATTTTTAAGGGAGGGACTAGTTTTCACTCAGATGAGCCCCGGGAGATGAGCGTAGAGAGAAAAGAAGGGATAACTGCTCGGGGTTTTGATAGTTACTTTTCGCAGTAGTGGGCTTCCTGTGTTTCCTGTTCGCAAATAAACTAAAGGTTACACTTAGGTTAATTCGTTTCCCTTTTGGCAACAGGCCGTACGTGACTGATGCCATGCTTAAACAATAACTGATAATATAAACCATGGTCTTGAAGTATAATGTTTGCCTCCCTTGTTTCCTCATTATTTCAGCTTGATACTGAGCGAACAATTGAATGAATTTTTTTTTAATTTTCAGCAGAATTTTACACCGATGAACATCATCGAGCCAGAAGACAAGCGAATTCAGGTAATAACAAAGCTAAAACAACAGCCACCATGATTAAAGAAATTCACAAACTTTTATCAGATGGGAGACCGAGACTAGGTTTTGATGATTTTTCTCGCAATTATAAGTAGCATAATTTGCTACTTGAAGCGCTCGTATTTTTCTAAAATGATGCTATAAAATAATTATGCTTAGTTTTTGTAAATCATGCTCGTTTTAACAAAAAATGCAGAAAAATCTAACTAGTGCAGGATAAGTCATTGTAAAAAGTATTTGCAGTGCTAGATTGATGTAAAGGTAAATCATTGAAATAACAAAAACTGTCTGACAACTATAAAAACTCAACCAATTGACATCCAGCACGCGGACGCCATCTTGGGTAACCGAGCTAGTTATGCAGGGTCACATCCTCTGCATCCTGTGGGATGCAGGTCCCATGAAAGTGACAATAAGCGGTCAAAATTTGCCTGTAACACACTGAACGTCGGCCAAAAACATTGTGTTGCGTGATCAATAAATGACAATTTGGTGCTGCAAAACTTGCCAAAATTGCAAATTATACTAGGAGTGCTTTATTTTAAGGACAACAGATAAAAATTATGCTCGTAATGTCGAATTAATTATGCCAAAAATTATGCAAACACAATCAGTATCAAGGCCTGCAACCGCAATTTGCAAATCAACACATGACACATGTCTTTCAGGTCCTCCGGGTCCCCCCGGTCCACCGGGGCCGAGAGGAGAGAAGGGAGATCGGGGACGAAAAGGAAAGAAGGGAACACGAGGGACCAAAGGAGATAAAGGTATTATAGGATCACCAGGAAAACGCGGGAAGCAAGGCATCGTGGGACCTGCAGGACCCAAAGGTGACCTAGGACTCAAAGGGCAAAAAGGAGACACAGGGCCCGCTGGCATGCCGGGAACGAAAGGAGAGCCTGGTGAATCGATTTCAGTTCCTGTTGTTGCTGTTTCCCCAACAAACTTGACAGTCAACGAAAGTGGAACAGCTTCATTTCAGTGTTCAGTCAGCGGTAATCCTGTGCCTGCAGTAGTGTGGAGTAAAAGGGGTAACCTGTCTGAAGTAAGCAAGTCAGCGGTTTCAAAAGGCAGATTGCTTTTAAAGAATGTAAAAGCAAATGACTCGGGTGAATATCAATGCTCAGCAACAAACATCTTAGGACATGCGCAAACACTAGTGCAGCTTGTTGTAAATGGTGAGTTGCAATAAAATATCATCTGGTAAAGTTTTACTCCAAAAGATGACGAGTACACTTATCACGTCATTCACTTGGACTTGACAGTTTGCTTCTATCTTTCTCTTAAGCCTAAATTCCTTTCTTTTGTTTCTTTTGTTAGTTTGTTTTTTTGTTTCGGCTCCAAACTTCCTCAGATCATGGGGCAAACAGTAATAACAAACACTTTTGCCAAAGGAAACAGAACGGCAGCAATTATCGCATGCAAAAACTTTAAAAAATAGTGACCACTCGAAAAGAAGAAATTCGAAGTATCTTAGCAAGAGTACGTTCTAACTTATGACCTTCTTCTCTCCGTGTTACTAGTGCAGATGCTCTACCACTGAGCTACCAAAAACTCATAAAATGGACGTAAAGTAGGCGTTGCTTCTACTTCTAATTTCGACCTACAGAATTAGATTTTTGAAAATATGTTCAAACGTCATCACACTAACCCCAACTATTTATTTAAGTTCATATTTTCATTTAAACGTTCTATTTGACAGCAGTTAATTTCTTTGCATTCTTGCAGTTCATCCTCGAGTTTTCCTCCATCCAGGGCCTCATTACGCTATTGAAGGCAGCAACTTCACTCTTCCCCCATGTCACGTGACTGGTTACCCAGCACCAGTGGTCAGTTGGAGAAAAGCATCCGGTCAGTTGCCGCATGAGAGGCTGAAGTACAACAACAGTAGCATTCAACTTTTAAATGCTCAAAAAATAGATTCTGACTTGTATCTCTGTTCAGCAACAAATCTGCTTGGACGTTTTGAAAGAAAAACATTTATAGTGGTTGTTTCACATCCTCGATTTACTGTTAAGCCACCTGTGAGCACTTCTGCAGCGCCCGGATCCACCTTGACACTGAATTGTAGCGCAACTGGTGACCCACAACCACTTATTAGCTGGAGGAAACAAGGAGGTCATCTGCCCGTTGGCAGGAACCAGCAGATTAATGGCGCGTTAGTGATAAGAGACATTACAAAGAACGACGCAGGCTATTACATATGTACCGCAACCAGCGCAGGTGTGTTTGATGTGGAAACTCTGACTCACATTCAAGTTTATCCACCAAGAGGTCAGTTATGGATAAAGCTTAAAGACCGTAAATTATAAAAGTGTAACGGCCAATGCTATTGTGTTAAAATAAGCTTAAGAGAGGCAGAAGTGCGAGAACTCACTTAATTTAGTCCTTACCGGCTTGTATTTTGAAAAGACATTACAGAGACAAAAAAAGGTGCAGGTGAAAATATATGTACCGTAACTAGCGCAGGAGTGTTTGACGAAGAAACCATGACTCCCATTTATTCATTAAGAGCTCATGCAGTTATAAATAGAGATTTTAAGCGCCTCAACTGATATATACAACTGCCAATGTTACGTTGCTGCTATCATGTTTAAGTTACCGGGGTTTTCAAGGGACGACGCTTGTACCCCTCGATCAGCAGCTAGCCTTTCAGCCCTTCATCACACTGTTGATTATATTTCAAGAACTGATCTGATCTTCAAAATATGAAACGTGACTCAGCTTTGAATATGTATTAAAGCGCATTATTTCAATCTTGACTATCAAGATAGAGATAGAGAATCCTATGGTCCTAATAGAAATTTACTCGATAGACGTTTTTCATTCTGTTATAAGTCAAAAATGTTTATCGCTGCTAAAATAAAGCCGTTACTGTTGTTTATTCTCTACAGATTGCTCTGATTTGTTAAAATCAGGCCATACTCAGAGTGGAGTGTACTCTGTGAACCCAGACGGTAAAGGATCTTTCAATGTATATTGTGACATGCGCACTGATGGTGGAGGATGGACCGTGTTCCAGAGAAGACAGGATGGCTCGGTGGACTTCTATCGCGGCTGGAACGATTACAAATCAGGCTTTGGTCAGCTGACGGCTGAGTTCTGGTTAGGAAACGACAAGATCCACAGGCTGACGGCCGCTAGACCCAACTCTCTACGAGTAGAGCTAGAGGACTGGAACGGAGTAAGAGCTTATGCTAAATATGGCAAGTTTAACATTGGTGATGAGCAGGCGAAGTATCGACTTCAAGTGGGTTCATATTCAGGAACGGCGGGAGATTCGTTAACAACACGCCATAATTACATGGCGTTTAGCACAAAAGACAGAGATAATGACGGAGCTGGTAGTTTTGACTGTGCTCAGGAAAACAGAGGTGCCTGGTGGTACGGTAAATGCCACCACTCCAACTTAAACGGACAGTATCTGGGAAACACAAGAGTTAGTGCAAAAGGCATTAGGTGGTGGTCTTTTAGGAGAGCTTTATCGCTAAAATTCACTGAGATGAAGTTGAGGTCGTCATCGTAAGAAAAAAATGAAACTCGTTACAGCAAATTCTTTCTCCTTGACGGCACAATTCAATGATAAGTCACAGACTAAAATCACCTTAGTTTTTCAAGTTGTCTGGAAAGCGTCCAAACTGACCGGAAATATTAATGATCCAACAGTAAACCTGAGTACAGTATAACAAGGTCTGATTGACGTCAGTCTTAATGTTTTGTAAATTATGTAATGAATACCTAGCTATTTCCTGACCCTCTAGTTGTTATAATTATCTGTTTGAGTGCAACTAGTTCTATAAACGGTGTCATCTTTTACTAATTTTGTCATATATATTGGTGAACAACATCCTCTCTTGTTGATGAATGATTATTTCTGATTTTGTCATAAAGGTTGTCATGGACCCAATCTTAATTAAAAGTGAGTAATTATTGTACTCTCTATAAAGTCTCTCCTGTTCCACTTCAATGGCCACAAAAATCACCCTCTGATTCTAAAACAATGGATGATTGCATTAAATCGAATAATGGCCACTCAGTCGCTCCTGAGCACTATGCGCGTTGCCACTTGGCCATTATTTTCAAGATGGCATGGAGCTCTGAGTCATCATCCTATTTATTTATGTCAGCAGAAGCTATAATCAGAGGAAACTCAGAAAACATGTTTTGGCAGAAACTAAATCACCTGAGCTTGTCACCTGTTTGATACCTGCTCATGGTTTCTTTGTTCTTAATTACAGCAAGAGATATAACTCCGGAAACTTTTGAACATATAACGTCTTGTCCGTCAAACATGATTTGATTAATGATTCCAGCTGCTTAGAGGCAACATAACGCTCCATTCTAACGACTAAAATAAAACTTAGAACCTACAACATCAAATGAGGAACGAGCATCAGATAAGAGGGGACATCATCGTCATGAGCATTCACTGTTACCGCGTGGAGTGGAATGTGGTGAAAGTTCTGTTCAAATAATGACGAACTAGGAATGTTACACTATTATGTCAATGTTATGAAAGCTGATTTCCCTCAATTTGGAGAGTATCAAACCGATCGAGGTAATGGCACTTATTTATTTGGGACGTCTGTTTATTTGCTATCCTCAATGCCGACATATTTCCTTGGCTTCAACATTCAACTTATTAGAGAATACAAACATTACCTAATTCTGACTTCTGGTAGTGCGAAGTAACATAGGGTTTCAAACGTCACTAGGAATGCAGCGTTGTCCTCGCCTTAGTTTTAAGGTGCTTTGTCAACTGACCCTTGAATTGCTTGATTTTGATTCTAAAGATAAATTTTTGTTTCACTTGAATATTCAATAAGAGCTGTTTACATAAGATCCACATGGCTGATTTTCGCAGTTGATCTGTGTGAGCCGAGTCCATGGGAAAATCTTTCGAGGAGAGATCGAGAGCATGTTCACACCCCCTGGTGTGTTTAAGAATATTGAGTGAGACTGGGGCGGTGTGGTATCGAATTGCAATATGGGACGGATTTACCGAACACATGCCCAGCCTTACTAGTATAGTGTTAAAACAGCGATAACTTCCACTGAACAGCCCCACTATTCAGTACGGCTTTAAATACTCTGAAACAGGTGTCTACGCTTTGTTGCACTTTTTTTCGTCCTCATCGAAGAGACTGGCTTGTCTAAACAATTGCAGATGTTAGACAGCAGAGGCCAGCTGAGGTTCTCTTTAGTTATGTTACATGTTGCATGGTGTTAGAATTTACGTTTGAGCCAACAGACAGCATCAGAATCCAATCAAAATCCATCTAACATCCAATATCTCATCAGAGATAAAGCAAAAAAATGGGGCAGTTTACTGAAATGGCATATGTTCGGTATGAATGATGGATAAGGCATCCCATGCACTGGGGGTCTGAGTGGAGTAGTACGTAGGTGGATGGCATCAGGAGGCCACCTGGCATGTGAACCGCCCTCCACGGGCACCTCCATTCTGCTGTGGTACAAAAAGAGGTGTCTGTGACATATATAAATTCTTGACTTCACGTGAGGTCAATATGGCAGAGTATTGGACATTACGATTTGATATTCGCCAAGATTTTTGTTATTGTTGTTGTTGCGAAAAGGGAACTAGGCGAAAATCCAGCAATCTTGACCTCACGATAAGTTGCTTAAACCTCAAAATAAACAGTGTGAGCTACGGCGTTATCTCATTTGTCAGCTTCCCGTTTTACGTACGCTTTATCCATTCGGCAAGAAACCAAAATAGCTGAGTGCGTTTCAGCGTTTCTAATGCTTTCGACCTCGACATAGGGGTAGAAAAGGAACAAAAACGGCCAGAGTTGAGTGAGAGCATTGAAATGCGCCTCAAGAAAAAAAAACTTCCCAATCAAAATAAAAGGGAATTATAGCTCTTAATATGAAAGACAGAACCAAAAAATTAGCTGAGGCGATATGCAAAAAGGATAATAGGTTCATCAGTCTATTCACCAGCGTTACGTTTTCCGTAGTTATATTATCGTTTCGGCTCTGGCTTTCAACTATGGTAAAGTTGCGACTGGTTGTTTATCAGAGGCCAGTGAAAATATTAACGAGTTGTTTATCGTTGTCACCCGTTCTCTCACGGTCAGTGTAAGGGTATATAACACTGTAAGGGTATATTTGGGACCCGGGATTTGACCAAAATGCGGCGCACGATTTGGGAAAACGCAAGATATCTTAGCGGGAATACAGGAATTAAAAATCTACCTGGGCAGCGGCATTTGTCAGAATTTTGGCACGGGATGCGAGATTTTTCGCCTGTATGTTGGGAATTCGGTAAATCTTACGAGCGCTCATTTACGAATGCGCGTCTTAAGATTTACCGAATTCCCAACATACAAGAGTCTAAATTGTTATTAGATTGTTTTTATGTTATTGTTTTTGAAAACAAAAGAGAAATAGCGGGATGAAGGATATTCTTGGGAAAGGAGCGAAAATGCAGGAATAGGACCCTCCCCCCCCACCCCACGTGTTTTCTTCCCTCCCCTTCCTCTGCCCTCTTCTTCTGACAATCTTCTCTAGTCTCCCTTAACCTCTAACATTCGAAATTATCGTTCCTGAATGAGACTAATGAGAAAAGATAAAAAAGATCAGAAATCGCTACTTTCGGAGGGTCTCTATTTTCGGGGGGTCGCTACTTTCGGGATTTGCTAACATCTATGAAATTTTATCGCTTCTTTCGGAACTGGGTACTCGGGACTTCATGCATCGCGACCCTGCTATTTGACCTTCCTCTTTTTATCTTCGTACAGCACACCGATTGAAACATGGCGGGGATAAGCTCCAGAGCAAGGAACGGAATTCTTCTTGTCGCTGTTTCAGTTGTAGTTACTGTTGCTCTTATTTTGGCAATAACACTCTCCAACCGATCAAAAACAGAGACAGCGAGAGCCAAGCGTGAGGGTGAGTGTAAAGAATGTCAGCCTTCGAGGCGAAATGACCCGCGGGAAGGCTCAGCATTTTGCTTTTAATTTTGCTCATTTGCTGTGCATGATATAGAATATTGAAAGAGAGGTACTTGCCGATGTGGTGTAGCTAAACATGATAACCCTCACAGACTCCTTTAAGTTATTCATCGGGTTATAGGACATGAAATTAACTACAGCTTCGATTAGCGGAGTAGCATGGGAATCAAACTTCATTCAACGGTTTGTTTAAAGTCATAACATCGAAGTATAGACCAGCATATAATTATTTACGTCGAAAAGCTTGCAATGTAAGCGTGTGCTCATACCATTCCGGACTTAATTATTCTTCTCGCTAATACTTTTAAATTACTCATTGCAAACGTATCTGGACTCCCAACTAGCAATACAAACATGCACGACAAGTCACGCCATTTGTCTTAACCAAGTGTTAAACAGTCATCACGGGACTCTCGCTATTGAAGTCCGTACTATAGTGGTGTCTGCTTTAACAATATTGAGATTCTTTGGAGGGTCTTTTCAGCTTGATAAAGGGTGCCCTGACACTTTGGCGGCTGAAAATAATTCAGTGTAATCTGATTATTCATGGTCAGAGTCGAATGGCGAATTACCGACTGTTGATTGCCGACATGTTAAACTTTCACTTTTCCTTGCGCTTGAAACATTTTTTCCATTTTATTAAATCTCATATCTTTTGTTAGCATTTAAAGATTATGGTAGTAAAAATGTACCCTAAAATTCGAACACAAGAGAGGGTTAAAATTAAATTGCATTTCAAATCTTATGTAATTGTTTGTAATGCAATGACCTATTAACGACATCATTCCATCATCACGCGAGGTTCAGTGGCGAGATGGCAGACAAGACGGCATTCTTTAATATATATCCAGGGAAAACGTGTATGTCTTTGTTTTTAAAAAAGAAACAAACAAACGAAAAAGAAAAAAAAGCCTAATTCTGAGTTTCAATGGTTTGGCTCACTGTTTCAAACAATACACTCCCCGCTCATGTTTTATTTTAGTAATTAGGAGTTCAAGATTTTCGAACGCTTGCGAGTATACGTACTCATCTAAGCACCAAGTGGCTTTGTTTGTAATAACTTACATTGTATCATGCAGCAAATGCAGCAGGTTTTTTCCCATGTTTTCTAAAAATGTTGCACTTAAATCGTTTAGTAACACAGTCAGTTCCTGTCCCCGCTAATCAGAAAGAGAACCAGTGGTTTAAAGATGGTGTTAAACTCCTCAAAGCCAATCTGAAACAGAAACCTATAACCCACACAGCGAAGAATACGATATTCTTTCTCGGAGATGGAATGAGTATCACGACTGTGACAGCGTCAAGGATCCTTGAGGGCCAAATGAGGAATCAAACAGGAGAAGAGAATGTACTGAGCTGGGAAAATTTTCCTTGGACCGCGCTTTCTAAAACCTACAACGTGGATCAACAGGTTGCAGACTCCGCAGGAACAGCGACGGC